TAGACAGTTTGAAAGATTTCACACAGTGCTTAGAAGTTCACGTTAATAGTGATACTGCATAAAGAAAAGATGTCAGAAGAAGTTCAGGAATACAAATAAGAAAATACAAAGTTCCGGGGTTTGTACTTAAGGATAATCTGAATGTTTCAACAGATACCGAACAAAGTTCTTTTCAGAACATTGTTATTTAATTTTTATGGCTGAAATCAGCTGTTTTAGGGTAATATTTTATTAATATTTTTTAATACAAGGGATGTCAAAAACAATATTGAATATATTTATGTGTCACATTCGAGTAAAAGTTCTGTTTCACAGCTGTTAATGTGCCATTATCACACAGTCTGTTATTCACATTAAATATGACACCACTAACAATAGCTTTGTGTCTCTGCTGGCCTTATGAATGCTCCAGTGACAAGTTTCAGAGTTAATTTTAGCCTCCCTGCGAAACTGTCTTGCTTCAGCCATACCATCTTAAAGCCACACTTAAACAGAGCCAAACAGTTAAATATTGCTATTATATTAATGGAAATAAATTGTTTAGTAGATTAAAATTGCTGCTCCTAAGATTGTTCTCACTGTTTTGGGTGCTTTTAGATTTCGAAATGTGCATCTCCATCGATGTGCTTTTTTAATGGAAGTAGAAATACTATAAGCTTTTGAAAAAGTAATGATTAAATACTATAACCTCTTGAAAAAGTAATTATTAAATCTCTGTGTGAAATGGCTTTGTTGTTGAAGATGTGCCATATTGCTGGTAGGGCTAAAATACATTTTGGAAGCTCTCTACAGATTTGATACTATTGCCCTTCAAATATCTTATGAAAATCCTGTTTTGGTTATAGAACAGGTTTAATTACATAAAATGAAGATAATGTGGCATTAAACCATAACATTAATGGGTTATTTTATTGTTCCGTCTGAATATGAAAAACTTTGCAAAGTTTGTGTTTTCTAAGAACGAAATGTGAATATGAAAAGAAAATAGTATCAGTGATTTGTTTGAATACATCCAGCAACAGTTTTATTAATGTTTCAATACGTTTTTACGTGGCCTGAGGATGTTTATTACCTTCATTTAAATGTGGAAAGTACTTTGTGCTTTGTCATGTGTAGAATAATTCATACTCATCATAACTCTTATACATGTTATTTAGATATAAGCAAGTTTTGTGTGTTTAATTAAATTTTACGACTTAATTTAAAACGATTCTCCCAAATTATTACTTTGAATGTACTGCTACATTTAAAACACGCTCTTTTGCTTTGAAGTATACCTTCTGTATACATTTCTGCATGGCTATCAAGTTAAGGCAAGGAACAGGGACACAGCAGCCTTAACTCCATGATGTCTGACAAAGACTAAACCTAATTATTATACCAGAAGGAAAGCACATTTTTAAATTGCACAGCACTACACATACATGCTACAGATAAATATTTATTATTGTGCATTGACTGAGATTGTGATTAGAAGTTGTAATGACCTCCTACACAGACCACCTCTATGAACAATCCGCCTTTCATTAAAAAATCTGTCACATTCTGAGTGTATAGAAAATGCTTATTAGATTACAGACGGGATGCTGTGGTTAACTTTTAAGGTGAGGAGGGGGCTGTTTGTGTGTGTGATGGCTGTCTGAAAGTGAGGGGAATCATTCAGCAGCAGATGATGGTGACACAAAACCACTGAAGGTTTGCTTGTCTGCTCTTGAAGGTTTCAAGAATGCAGCAGATGCAGCACCTCAGTCCTGGCAGAGTGGAGTGACACAGATCCCTGAATACGAGCAAATTACATTTGAAAGTGATTAGCAAATGTGGCAATTATGATTATTGTATTAGGGAAATGAATAGGCTGATTGCTGAAAAACTGATTAAAAGTGTCCCAGATATGAGTAGCAGATCACAGTGCTAATCCCAGGAATTTCTATAAATGCAAATCCAAGCACCATTTGTACATTTCTGGGAAACCATTACACAATGGTCTCCTTTTTTGTTGCATCACATGTCAGGTTTTTAACACGAGATGAGGGGCAATTATCACAATAGTGTTATTTATCTCAGGTTTATCAGGAGCAATCTGACAGTGGCTTTATGGGATAATATCCTCTTCACTTCCTTCTTTAGTGCTGGGATTTGCATAAGGTTGTGAGCTGGAGTCTCAGCAGGAAGCCTTAAGCTAGTGACAGGAGTGCTTTAAGTTTCCGGACTTTTGGTTGGACTTGGCTGCAATGTGAATGTCCTTGGCAGTGAAAGTTGGAGCTGGTGCATTGAGGCCGTCTGTGATTCTAGACATGTCTGTGGAGCACGAACTGTTCTTCCGGACAGAAAATGTTATGAACCAGTGAAAGGTGAAAAGCAAAATCTCGGATTAGGCAGAAAGGCGCCAGTCTTTCGAAGCCAAACTGCAGGTAAAGGGTAAAAAAGGAGTGTGGTTGTTTACACAGACAAATACCTCTTCCACTATAAAGAAGAAATGCTCCATTTTTATTTATTGAGCATAAAAGCCTTTGTTGTCAATTTATAATATCAGATGGCGGCACGGTTTGGGTACGGAAATATTTTGACCAGAGCAATTAGTCAGCTTTCCAATAATTAATCCTTATAAGAGTCTTTATTTAGGCATTATTTACTGTACATGGCAACAAGCCTACTTGTACTATCGTACTCTATAAAGTAATGCAACATTTTTAACCAGTGTCCTTATACTGCCAATATTGTTCACTTACATAATGACACATAAAAAACAGCTGTGTTCTTACTTTGATAAAATCCGACATCAAGCTCAAACGGTTTGTTCAGAACTGCTTTTCAAAATGACTCCTAGATCAAGGAAATTGAAAACAGTGGTCATCACTGATTGGTTATGAGATTTGGTCTAATAAGGCCCCTCCCCTTCAGAATCAGAAGGAAGAGATGAGAAGAAGAAAGTGCTAGTATCTTCAGTAACCTCTGCTGTAGAGCTGCATGGACAGTTTAGATATGAAATGCAGTATGAGAAAGACATTACAGTTTTTCAGCTGTTGTAGCAATAACAGTTGCTTGAACAGACCTGAAGGATTGTGAGGAGTATTCATGAACCATGTCAATGCTTTTAATTCATCTTAGCTTTAACTTCTAAAGGCTTAGAGATTGACATGGTGAGACATAGAACTCTTGTTTGTGGGAGGTTTATGAAAGACCTTCATACACAGCACTAAGGTAAAGGTATTATCTTTCTTAGTTTTCATGATTTCAGATAGAAGATCATCTTTTATGCTCCTTTCATTGAATTTTTACTTTGTATGTTTTCTCTTGAGTGTCATTATCCCACAACACATGTGCTCTATCTTGACCTGCAGTGCGTGATCACTTTAGGTTAAACGCTAAGCATTTTGCCGCATGAACATCATGATTGCCTTACAGCTCTGTAACTGTTTTGAAAGTAAATCTTCCTGGATAAAGACATCAACTTTACAGTATAACAACAAAAATATTTTTAAGATTATGTATACCAGCTTAAAAAGTGAACCCGTCAGCGGCATTACTGAGGTTATTTAGTAATATTCTATATTTGTATGTTACAAGGAAGCTGAAATTGAGCTTAACAGCTCTGCATTACTGCTTGTTCATTATCATTGCTGGTTTTCTGTCACAACAAAGGTTGACCTGCTTCTCTTGAGAGACCTGTTATATGAAATTAAGGGTGACATCAGAAGTCCAAATGGCTTTCATGAAGTATCGCCCTCTGAATGCTTTTACACGGTTATTGATTCTCATATGAAGTCAGTTTCTCAACGCAAACCTGTTTCGGATATCTACCATTGACAAGCGGTCACATTGTGGAGAAGCAGCTGCACAAATTGTGCAGGTCAGAGAAAAAAGTTGTGTTAGCGATTTCTAGAAACATTTTGGTGTTTCACCTTCTTTTTGGGGTCACTTTTTATTCCCTGTTTGTTTGTACATTTCCACGTTCCCATTGGTCGCCCAATATTTAGCACCGGCCCCGTCTGTTAGCATGTCAAGAGTACTTCAGGCGCTGGATAATTAAGAAAATAAATAAATAATGCTAACGACGATGCCTTGCCCGGTTATTCCCTTCCGCTGTGCCATCCTTGAGCAGGTTTCTTGTCATTTGCCGCGCATTTGCATCACCTATTGACAGCCAATCTTTTAAACTGCTCATTGTGCTGCTTTTGTTGAGCCGCTCAAGAGGAGCAGCAACACAAAAGCCACCAGCCTCAGCGAGTGGGTTGGTGTGTGTGTGCGTGTGTGGGGGGATTTGCATGCGGCTGGCATTGCCTGAGAGAAAAAAAAATAATTGCTAATACATATTTATGTGGCGCAAATTTGCCATTTGTTTATGCATAAAATTATCAATAGCATGGGGCGCTTAGCCAGAGAAAATGGTGACCTTTTTAAATTGTAATAAATAGCAATAGGCTGTTGCTACAGAGAGATGAGTGGATTTTTTGCTGCACCGGGGCGGCTGCCAGCAAACCCAGATTTTGCAGGTGATATCATTGAAATGGGAGGTGCTTGACCTAGTGGGCACGCTCTATGATACTTCACTGAATAAGGGATAAATTATTCGCTTTTCAAGTGACTCTTCCCCCCTCCGCAAGCACATTTATTTTCTATTAAACAATGAAATATTTTTGAAGCAGAAGTGGGCTGGTTTTATACCATGCCTCTGTTGAAAACTCAGAAGGTAACTTGTCTACCCCTGAAGTTGCATGGTTGTTTAACCTTCTTGATCCTGAGTACCACAATAACCCTTGTAGTAAAAATCAGATTCCTAGAGTGTATCTATTAAAAAGCCGGCAAAGCTTTCTGCAGATTCTCTTCTTCTGCTTACACGCAAGTCACTGATTGAAACGGAACATCATTTTCTTGTTATTTACATATTGAAGAGTCTATGTACTTATAAATGGACAATGAATTAGCTCCGTGATATAAGTATCTTCAAACTGTTAATTTATTATTTAATTGAGCTTTTTTTTTATTTGATTTTTTTTCAGCTTTCAAATTCATGCAGATGGGTTTTCAGTCCAAAGTCCAGTATTATCAGTCTGTACAATTGTAGGTAAGTAGTTTTTGCTCTCTTCCAGGTCATATACATTCTTTTATCTAATCAGTACTCATGGAAACTTTACAATAATAACTGGTGGTCAATTAAAATTGTTTTGGAAACTTCAAGATTGTCCCCCACTTCCCTCAATCCTCTTCATTATCGCTATCATTGGTGGGCACCAAGTTTGAAATGAAACAATGCCTAATAATTTAATTTGGTAGACAAGTGTCATGCAGTAAGGATTTGCAGCAGCAGTGCAAGCCCCATCACTATCCCTAACCCTGACACCATTGAGCCAAGCAAAAGAGCAGTTCCTTATATACAGTGTAATCTCAAGACATGACAGGATCCAATGATGTCAGAGGAAGTGTGATGTTACAGACCTCATTCTTGTGTTCTGGAACTGTCCATGTCTTAACATCCAAGATAATCATTTCTCACTAGCATTTTTTTTCTCCCTAAGATTAATTATGTGAGGTTTTACAAGTTTAGAAGAGCAAGGAATAATCATTTTAAGACTAGAGGATAAAACATACAATACATAAATATATAACAATAATTCCTGAATGTGTAAAAGGGAGTCCATATTACCCTATGGACAGAGTATTCATAGAGAACTAAAGAGAAGTTTAATATTATAGCATAATAGCAAAAGGAAATTTAAGTTAATCAGTCATTGATTAGAATTTTTGGGAGCTGAATATATACTGATGGAAAAAAGAAACGCAACACCTCCTCCTCCACACTCTGGCCCTCCCGTCTGCGTGGAACAGGCTGAAGAGTGACTCATCCGTGAAGAGAACCTGATGCCACTGCTGATGAGTCCATCGCAGCCTCTGTCTGGCCCGAGCCAGTAGGTGTGACGTCTAGGAGGTGTGAGCAGAGGGCCTCTGACAGGTCGCCTTGCTCTAAGGCCAGCAGCATTGAGCCTCACTGTCCTGTCACTGATGTGGGCATTGTGTCTGCTGGCAGTATCAGCAGCAGTACGGGTGGCAGATCTGATAAGACCTCTCAGACGGACCAGTCTGATGTGTCGGTCCTGCTCTGCTGTGGTCACTCGAGGGCGACTGTCCTGCCGGTCTGCTGAAACCTTCTCTGCAGTTGGGACGCAGTGGAGCAGCTTACTCCATAGTGTCTGGCATGCCAATGGCCCTCTCCCTTGCTTCTGGTGACATTCAAGGCATATGCACAGAAAACTGACTAAGTGTGGCCTTTTTCTTGCAGTGACCTAAGCTTTGAATTAAGGCCTTTTTAAAGGTGACCTGATCAGGCATTGTTCCACCTGGACCTCGTTTGGTAAAAGTGCACTTAACGAGCTTTTGTGTGATTGGCAAATTGCAGTGCCTCACTGCACAAGCTGTATTGCTAGCAAGAGGGCTTAAAACAAATTGACAACTTTTTGTGAAAGTACATGAGCTATAATTATAGTATTCTAATTCCAGAAAATGTTGTGTTTCTTTTTCCATCAGTATATATTGTCAAAAAATGTTTTGGTAATTTTTTAGATTAGGGGTTGGAGATACTACTCTACACGGAAGTTCTTTGTAGAACAGATTAACAAAACATGAACTTTAGTTTTAATAACATAATAGCAGCTGGCACCTGATGAGTAATAAAATGTATGAATAGTATTAAGTGTATCATTAATTATGAATGTGTGTTTTTAGAACAATAAAGTAGAAAGGTTTTGGGTGCAGATTAAAAGTTTTTATTTTGATTAATTATTCATAACTGACCGAGATACACTCAGTTGACTTTGTTGCACAAGAAATAAAGTGCCTAGTTAGTGAGAGAGTTAATTGGGTACAGGTGATTTAACCTGATGAATATCAAACCTAGTGTAAATCAAGAAAGCAAAAAAAAAAAACAGGCATCAATATGCTGCTGTTATCAACAGAAAAATGCCTTTGTGCCATCTGTATATTGGAGCAATACTGCTTGTGGACAGCAGTGGAGCCAAGTCCTCTTTAGGGAAGAATGAAGGCTTTGTCTAGACCACCCTGATGGATATGAGTGAGTGTGGTTCAGACAAGTAGAACAATACACTAATTGTTGTGCACAACAGACCAATCAATGGAGAGGTCCAAGTGTCATGGTCTGGGCAGGAGTGCTTAGGCACTACAGGACTGTAAGGTGCTATGATAATCAAGACCAGAAACTTCACTTGATGCCAGTTCTGCTGGCTTGTCCCGATGTGAGGAACAGGGGCTTTCTCTCGAGATGAGAATGTGAAATTGCTGCCCATTGAACATGCATGGGATGAGCTGAGGTGATGTGTGGCATCTAGGGCTCAGAGATTCAGGCTCTTAAAAAGAAATGGGGAGAATTCCACGAGACACCTTCTGCAACCTGACACAAAGCGCCTATCACAGATGAACAACTTTGTTTCCTCCAGTGGGCGTATAAACTACTAGTTTGTGTCTTTCACAGCAGCGCCCACTATTAATCATCCCTGTTGAGTACAAATGTTAATCACTCTAATGAATTTACCTACTTATGTCATATCTGTTCAATAAAATGTCAGTGCATCTGCTTCAAAAAGTATTTTCCTGCACTTTGTGCAGTTTGTAATAACAAAGCTTAGATTGTTTTGTATACAGGTTCTGAATTGCTAATGTTGTGTATGCATTTATAAAGTGCTGTTTTGTAACTCTTAAACTACGATGTCACTGAAATGTCTTAATATGTAACATTCAAATCTTTATTCCAAATAGTAATACCTTCTCAAGGTCTGTAAGAAGCCTATAATACAAGAAACATAAATAGAGACCAATCCCCTTGATTTAATTTCTGAAATCCATTGGATTGCGTATTGGGTATAGCAGCCTCACCGCTCGAGGTCCAAGCATTACAGAAAAAGTTGTAGGTAAAAACTGAAAGAAGAGCACAGGAGCTTGTATTGCTATTATATGTCCATGAGCAAGATAAGACCATCATTATTAAATTATTGACTGCTACAATGTGAATTTGTTCATATCTCCAAAGTGGAGAAGAGCAAAGGAAATTGCCTGTAATTACTGTTTTTGAAAATAATAGTAGAAATAGTAAATAGCTATTGACAATGTAAGTATTTTGTATTTCTGAAAATTAGATTAATATGAATTATCAGAAAACGTAATACATGTTTGTTTGGGTAAATACATTTGGTCATATTAGAACAAAAACATTTTTTGTGTTCAACCCAGTGATTTCAAATGACCATAAATATTTGGATACATTCCTTTTAAGTATTTTAAAAGTCTCGTGGGTGTTATGACTTCAGCGACTTCAGACTTTGTTTCTGCATGTAAATTTGAAGATTGACTTGGCCTGTCTAAGATTTTCCCCCTTTTTCTGTTTTTTTACGTATGTAGATAGATACGCTGCCCAATAAAAGTGCAATAATTGTGTTCTACATAGGCAGCCAAAATGTTTCTGTTAATTGCAGAATGCCATCTGCTTCTGCCAGTATTAGTTATATCACCCCAGCCATGACTTCCACCATACCTGAAGTAAATTCTTTGGTTGAGAGGTTAAACACATACAGTATTCAGTATCTTCCATACCCAGTGTCTGGACATCTGTCTACTTCTGTTTATTGCTGCCAAATATGTGATTCATGACAAGATTCATATCTGCACCCAGAATCACACCAATTTCAGCGAGTTCCAGCAGAGACTGAACCAGATAAAAATATCTGGTTAGAATATAATAAGGGGCATAAACTGAAATATAGTTCTTATTTTACCTGAAGTAATAGTTTCAATCTGTCATTTTTCCTAGTTTATCATCAGTGGCTAGGATACTGGCATAGATATTTTTATTAAACTTCATGGACAGGTGACAGCAAAATAATTATTACAGAAATGTCCCCGCGTCATGTTGTTTTTTGATATGTGAATACAGAAGCTTATAAATAACAAATTTAACAATAGGATATAACCTTGATTACTGATCAGATCATAAATGGTCATTTTAGACTCTTTTGTGGTTACAGTTAGAGATGGTTTTATTTCCAAATAACGTTTCATAGCAGAATTATTTAAGAAATGTAGCAGAATGCTAGTGCAGGCAAAATGTACGTTAGTAAACCTCTGTGGTGTGAAACATCCTCAGTCCTTGCATTGAAGAGCTCGCTCACTTCTTTTCTTCTTTTCACCTTCTCGATTACAGCCAATTCAAGGCCTTGCATGATTCAACTCTCTTTTTTGCAGCTTGCTTTTCATTTGCAGTGTCAAAGACAATTGCACGCTGTACAAAACATCAATCTGCCATATTTATTTAATGCTTCCATTGGGTGACTCTTACTTCTTTGCAGTTGTACTGCAACTTTGCTATTCCTTGAAATGTTGGTGCATTGATCAGTTCCAGTGAACTCTATTGTCTAAGCAATTATTACCTGTATGATATATACTGTACATAAACTGCAAACTGCCTTAGTCAACATCCATGAGAAAAAGACCATCATCTGAGTCTTCCAAACTATTAGAAAAATATAATGAATGCGTCAAACGTAACTATGGAAATGTTTTCTAAAGATATACATTTAAAGTTTCAGAAGAAATACAAGGTGGTCGGGTGTCATCATGGATGAGATAATAGACATAGAAAAAAGTTACTATCAATGAGATCTCAGATCTCAGGGACTGTATCTCCACAGATAAAATCAGAAAGTTTCAGAAGAAATACAAGGTGGTCGGGTGTCATCATGGATGAGATAATAGACATAGAAAAAAGTTACAATCAATGAGATCTCAGATCTCAGGGACTGTATCTCCACAGATAAAATCAGAAAGTTGCAGATCAGGTGACATTCATGGCCAAGCCATTCCTGAGCTGTTGAGCCCGGGAAGCCAGGCTTGAAAGAACTCTAGTAAAAGCTTGGTGCAGAAAGGTTCATCACAAACATGCTACAGTATGTAAGTTTCTTTGCACAATCACAGAAGCGTTCTAAATCCTATGATGATTTCAACTTGAACTTTTTTTATTCATACTTAATGATTCTGTTTTGAATAGCACCCACTGTTTTGGGT